TTGTCGAAGCATAGGAGAAGCTCGGTGACAGCAGCGGCGCTCAGGGGCAGAGGTGTCGCGAGGAGGAATAAGAAGCAAAGGAGACGAGGGAAAAAAATGATAAGGACCCATGGCCCTATTTATAAGGCGAAGCGATAAAGCGACAAGTGCGGGAATCGAGGAGCTCAAAAATGGATAGTTAATAATGGTGTCGCCTCGATGGCTGGATATGCATTAATGAAGGTGATCCTCAGCTTTATCATGATCCTGGAATATGACATCACAGCGGTTTACAAGATCAAGGTAAAGATGCAAAGGAGGAGTTTTTCAAGTGTTGAAGATTGACATGAACAAGTTCAAACCAATCTGGGGCCTAATGTTGGGGATATTACTACTGGGCATAAACCGGCTAGGAGTAGCCGGATTAACTTTATGAAGATTAGAAGCCCATGAAGACGTCAGAATGATGGCACTTTATGGAGGCCCAAGGCCCAAAGGCGAGTTAAGGCCTGTAGATGTAAACCGACCTTATTATGTAACTTGCATTGTAAGATAGGAAGTGTAGAGGCCGAACCGGACACGTTTATGATCCGGCTTCGGGACTCTGTAAACCGACGGGCGTCAACCTATGTATATAAAGGGACGACCCGGCAGCAGTTTAGGGACAGGAAAACAACAACTCGAGGGCCAGTCAAAGCGGATTCGCTCTCTGGTCATCGAAACCCTAGCAATACCAATCACAACTAGATGTAGGCTTTTACCTTCATCGAAGGGGCCGAACTAGTATAAAATTCCTTGTGTCCCCTTGTCCGGTTTAACCTCTTTAAGCTAACACATTGCAATGACTCCACGATTAAGTCCTTTCACAAGGACATCTGCCGTGACAAACCCACGACAGCAACTTAGGCTTCTTGCCAAACCATAGTTCATACGGTGTCATCTCAATGGATTTAGATGGTGCCCTGTTTAACGTGAATGCAACTGTCTCTAATGCATAACCCCAAAACGATAGTGATAAATTGGTAAGAGACATCATGGATCGCACCATATCTAATAAAGTACGGTTACGACGTTCGGACACACCATTACGCTGTGATGTTCCAGGTGGCGTGAGTTGTGAAACTATTCCACATTGTTTTAAATGAAGGCCAAACTCGTAACTCAAATATTCGCCTCTGCGATCATATCGTAGAAACTTTATTTTCTTGTTACGATGATTCTCCACTTCACTCTGAAATTCTTTGAACTTTTCAAATGTCTCAGACTTGTGTTTCATTAAGTAGATATACCCATGTCTACTCAAATCATCTCTAAAGGTCAGAAAATAACGATACCTGTCGCGAGCCTCAACACTCATCGGACCGCATACATCGGTATATATTATTTCCAATAAGTCAGTGGCTCGCTCCATTGTTCCGGAGAACGAAGTCTTAGTCATCTTGCCAAGAGGCATGGTTCGCAAGCATCAAATGATTCACAACCAAGTGATTCCAAAAGTCCATCCGCATGGAGTTTCTTAATGCGCTTTACACCAATATGACCTAAACAGCAGTGCCACAAATATGTTGCACTATCATTATCAACTTTGCAGCTTTTGGCATCAATATTATGAATATGTGTATCACCACGATCGGGACATGTCTCCGATCAATAGCGGAACCTGGATGCTCATATTGGTTCCTACATATTCTACGAAGATCTTTATCGGTCAAACCATAATGACAACATACATTATTCCCTTTGTCATCGGTATGTTACTTGCCCAAGATTCGATCATCGGTATCATCATACCTAGTTCAATCTCGTTACCGGCAAGTCTCTTTACTCGTTCTATAATGCATCATCCCGCAACTAACTCATTAGTCACATTGCTTGCAAGGCTTATAGTGATGTGCATTACCGAGAGGGCCCAGAGATACCTCTCAGATACTCGGAGTGACAAATCCTAATCTTGATCTATGCCAACCGAACAAACACCTTCGGAGACACCTGTAGAGCATCTTTATAACCACCCAGTTACGTTGTGACATTTGATAGGACATAAGGTGTTCCTCCGATATTCGGGAGTTGCATAATCTCATAGTCAGAGGAATATGTATAAGTCGTGAAGAAAGCAATAGCAATAAAACTTAACGATCATTATGCTAAGATAACGGATGGGTCTTGTCCATCACATCATTCTCCTAATGATGTGATCTCGTTCATCAAATGACAACACATGTCTATGGTTAGGAAACTTAACCATCTTTGATTAACGAGCTAGTCTACTAGAGTCTTACTAGGGACACTGTGTTTTGTCTATGTATCCACACATGTATCAAGTTTCTGGTTAATACAATTCTAGCATGAATAATAAACATTTATCATGATATAAGGAAATATAAATAACAACTTTATTATTGCCTCTAGGGCATATTTCCTTCAGGCACAACCCACCTGGGCACGCCCGGGGGCCTAGACGCGCCCTGGTGGGATGTGCCCACCTGGATGGCCTCCCGCACCGCCTCTTCGCCCTATGAATACCCAAATATTCCAAAAATCCTAGGGGAGTCAACGAAATACAATTCCAGCTGCCGCAAGTTTCAGAACCACGAGATCCAATCTAAACATCATCACGGAGGGGTTCATCATCCACATTGGTGCCTCTCCGATGATGCGTGAGTAGTTTATTGTAGACCTACGGGTCCGTAGGCAGTAGCTAGATGGCTTCCTCTCTCTTTTGATTCTCAATACAATGGTCTCTTGAAGATCTATTTGATGTAACTCTTTTTGCGGTGTGTTTGTTGGGATCCGATGAAAGTTATTTGAGTCTTCTTTGATCTCTTATATGTATGATTATTTATAGCCTCGTATTTCTTTTTTGAATCTCTGATTTAGTTAGGCCAACTAGATCGATTTTCTTGCCATGAGAAGAGGTGCTTCGTGATGGGTTCGATCGTGCGGTGTTCTTTCCCAGTGACAGAAGGGGCAGCAAGACACGTATTGATCATTACTATTAAGGATAACAAGATGGGGTCTATTCCTACATGAATAAATCTTGTCTACATCATGTCATCGTTCTTATTGCATTACTCCGTTTCTCCATGAACTCAATACACTAGATGCATGCTGGATAGCGGTCGATGTGTGGAGTAATAGTAGTAGATGCAGGCATGAGTCGGTCTACTAATATTGGACGTGATGCCTATATATTGATCTTTGCCTGGATATCGTCATAATTATTTGAAGTTCTATCAATTGCCCAACAGTAATTTGTTTACCCGCCGTGTGCTATTTTCTTGAGAGAAGCCACTAGTGAAATCTACATCCCCGGGTCTATTCTTTCTCATATTTGCTTTCCGAACTATTATTTGCGAATTTTATTTTGAGAACTATTATTCCAAAAACCCAAAATACCTTGCCGCACTTGTTTATTTGCATCTTTTATTTCGTGTTTAATCAAGATCTATTTATCCAATCTATTACAATTTTATCCTGTCAACTAGATAATTTCTGGCGCCGTTACCCGGAGAAGGGATTGACAACCCCTTATACGCGTCGGGTTGTAAGTATTTGTTTCTTTGTGTGTAGGTACCGTTTACATAGTGTTGCTTGGTTCTCCTACTGGATTGATACCTTGGTTTCATAACTGAGGGAAATACCTACCATAGCTCTGCTGCATCATCCATTCCTCTTGGGGGAAATACCGACATAGTTCAAGCGACATAAAAAACCGGGCTTAGCTGAAGTTTTGCCGAGGTTTCATCTGACAATGCCTCGGGAATTTCATCGGTCAAACTTGACGTCTGATCCGACGAGGCATTGTTCAGCTCCGAACTCGAAGCAAAATCCGATGAATGATCGCGCTGTGGTCCTGATCCGAGATTGAATCCAAGATCAGCATGTTGGCATCGGCGAGGTCCTCAGACTGGTCTGACACCAGCCCGAAAACGCGAGTCTGTCGTGGGCATTTGCAACATATGCCATGTTTTCAAACCTGCTGGTTTGGCCTGGAGCGAAATTCTCGATCTAGCCGAGGTGGCCAGTAGAATCGGCGTGACACCGCCAAACACAAAAAGCTGTCTGGGGAAGAAGGTCTTCCAGCAACCAATGTTGCGCTCGATCCAAAGATGAGCCATCGAGCTGTTTTGACCACACAACGGAATGTGTATGAGCCATCAATGTCGGGGTTGAATCTAGCGGATCTCAGGCAGGGGGTCCTGAGCTGTGGATCTTAGCTTGATGGTAACATGACACAAGAGGGACATGATGTTTACATAGGTTCGGGTTCTCTTAAAGTACGTGTACTTTGATTGTATTGATGTGATGGGATACAAAGTACAAGATGATCTATCTTAAGATCGTATAATGTCTCTAAAAAACTCTACCTTATGGACTAAACCACTCAGCTTATATAGGGGCTGATAGTACCTAGGGTTACATGTAGGTTGGTTATATCTATGTATAAGCTTGCCGATGATTTAAACATGCCTTGACGTGTGTGACAAGTCTTCTGAGGATTCCATTTTAAACACGCTGGGAGGCATGATGGACATGACTCATTCTTTGGTTATCTGGGTCCTTGGCCCGTCCCATGACTAGGAGGCCAATGTGGTTAGCATCCCCTAGTCAGAACACTGTCACCGTCTGTCTACTACAACAAGTTTTGTTTGGCTTCAGCGAGTGAGGGGCAATGACGACGGCGCGTCTTCGGCTCTCTTCAGTGCTTGTAGTCGTCACTAGACGGTGTACGGACCTGAATTCATTTTTTTATTTATAGTGTTCGTTGGATCGATGGTGAATACTACTAAGCTTTTTTTTAAAGAGAGAAGTGAACCGGGCCGTGCCTGACATTTTCTCCTCCCGACCTCCGTACTCTGTCCTATCGGCGAGAAGTGGGGGAGATCTTCGTCTTCCGCACTCGCGCGCGCAAGCTCACTCGCTCCAGATCTTCCCTTACCGTCGTAGATCTCACGACCCCAAGCCGCCAAGCCCCCAACGAAACCCTAGCTCGCGCCCCTCCGCCGCGTAGGGGCGCCGTCATGGGCATCGTGTTCACGCGGCTCTTCTCGTCGGTATTCGGAAACCGCGAGGCCCGCATCCTCGTCCTCGGCCTCGACAATGCCGGCAAGACTACTATCCTCTGTAAGTGAGCCCGATCTCCCTCGCCCCGAATCTTCCGTGGTTCCTCCTTGGATCTGCGGTTCTGTTTGTTCGTGTTTCTGAATTCTGATTCATGTGGCGTGGCTTGCAGATCGGCTGCAGATGGGGGAGGTCGTTTCCACGATCCCAAGTGGGTTTCCTGTTCTGGTGCTCAACTAGTGTGTGCATTTCTTTTGATGTGTATGGATCGAGCTTAGATTTGATGTGAGGTGGTGCTGTGTCCGTGTGTGTCTTGCTGCAGCGATCGGGTTCAACGTGGAGACGGTGCAGTACAATAACATCAAGTTCCAAGTTTGGGATCTCGGTAAGTGACACGTATCCTCGCCCCTCATTTGAATGTTAGTGTTAGAACTAACGAATCACATTATTCGCAAAAAAAAAGTAACGAATCACATAGATATATATCCAAAGCACAATCTTTGTATTATTCATAGCCATAACTAACACAGAGCACCACACAAGTTGAAGTTTATCAGGATTTGACATACAATTTTGATACTTATGTGAAAAATTGGATCATGTTGGACGATTTGCTGTATGTTGCCAATGTGTTCTCACCCTCTGAATACCATCTTGGAGTCTTCCTTATGTTTATTTCAATTGAATGAGGTTTAGGTATTTCAATTAAATTAGGTTAGGTAATTGATGTGATGCTTAAATCAGTGGGGTAAAGCATAATTAGGGCAGGAGCAAAGGAAGCAAAACCTATAACCAATTTGCCTAGCAGGACTCACTAGAGTAAAGCATACTTAGGGCAGGAGCAAAGGAACCAGCACCAAGGTGCTGCCCCGTGCATCCACATAGATGTAAAAGGAGGCAATCAGTTAGTTTTTCCCCTCAGGCCAGCACTTCACTGGGGCCCACCATCTCCAGAATATTCCCATTCTATTTGTATATTCTTCCCCAGATAATTCCCAGAGTCTCTCTTTCCAAAAAATTGCCTCAAATCCTTCCCGAATCTCTCTCCTTCACCCAAAATTCTCCTCCAAATTCGCCCTCTTGATCCCAACCGATGAAACAAACTCTAATTACTCTAGGCCGACATGGTTTCGAGAGTGTTGGAGGCATGGACCGACATGGAGGAGGTGGTGGAGGAGCCGCTGGCTGCCGGTTGAAATGCCACGTGCGGGTCGGTGATGCTGAGCGCCCAGGCTCGAGGGTCGACAAAGGCGGGAGGTGGTGAAGCGCCGCTCCAGGGCATTGAGGCATTGGACGAGGCCCTCCACGAAGGCGCTTGGTGGTCCGTTTCACCATCACTTCCTTTAACTGGGCCGGTAGCTCCTTGAGCATGAGGTTGATGTCACCGTTGGCTTTGTCATCGTCCGCCAATTGATACCAGATGGAACAAACTCTAATTATCCTAGTTCTAATAGGAAGTACTCCCTCCGTCCGGAAATACTTGTCATCAAAATGGATAAAAGGGGATGTATCTAGACATATTTTAGTTCTAGATACATCTCTTTTTATCCATTTTGATGACAAGTATTTTCGGACGGAGGGAGTAATACTGTGAATTCTGATGCTTTATTGATCGTGGGAGAGGCTCAATATATAGTAGGGATACCTTGGCTTACAAACCGGCTCAAAAGGAAATACAATCTGACTCTGAAACGGATTCTAATCTGCAATCTGCACGTAATATGAACCTGAGCCAATGAGAACTTATAGTAATAATTGAATATCAGGGGGTGGTGCGTCCAGGTTTGGAGCCCTCCGACCATATTTGGCTTCCCACGTACAGTCGAACTCATGCTTTGCGCCATAGAAAAAGCCCAGTCGTTGTTGGATCCGACATCACACATCATGGATGGCGCTCCGTACCCCTGCCATGGAAAAAGTCCTGGCCGCTACCTAACCCATGCTTCATAGCGTCTCCATAGCCGGAGCTCCTCATCCCGGCATCATCGTCGTCCCCGAGCGCTACACACTATAGTGATTTGAGCCAACGCATCCCTCTCCCATCTCTCCATTTTTTCTTTCCTCACCGTTTCCAGGTTTCCTCCTTTCTCACATGAAGCACCGACTCACCCGCAGAGCCGCCACCTTGGAGCCTAGTTGGTTCTGCAGGCTGCAGGCTGGGGTGACGCGTGGCCATATCCTCATTGCTTCGTTTAGATTAATACTCAACAATCCTAAACTTTTTTTTTATCTCCAATGCATGATGTGGAAATTTAACATAACATTCTTTTGTGTCAAATAGATTTGCCTTGTAGACAAGAAGGAGAAGATGTCTTAAGCTTTGCTCTAGCGTACAACATGATTGTAGCTAACACCCTCTTTAGAAAGAGAGAATCACATGTGGTGACTTTTAGTAGTGGCCAACACTCTAGCCAGATTGATTTCATCCTCTCGAGAAGAGAAGATAGGCGTGCGTGCCTAGACTGTAAGGTGATACCTGGAGAGAGTGTTGTACCCCAGCATAAGCTGGTGGTTGCTGACTTCCGCTTTCGGATTCGTGTCCAGCGGGATAAGCGTGCCAAAGTCGCTAGAACGAAGTGGTGGAATCTCAAGGGGGAGGTAGCTCTAGCGTTCAAGGAGAGGGTCATTAAGGAGGGCCCTTGGGAGGAAGGAGGAGATGCGAACAATGTGTGGATGAAGATGGCGACTTGCATTCGTAAGGTGGCCTCGGAGGAGCTTGGAGTGTCCAGGGGAAGGAGAAGCGAAGATAAGGATACCTGGTGGTGGAATGATGATGTCCAGAAGGCGATTAAAGAGAAGAAAGATTGCTTCAAACGCCTATACCTGGATAGGAGTGCAGACAACATAGAGAAGTACAAGATGGCGAAGAAGGCCGCAAAGCGAGCTGTTGGTGAAGCAAGGGGTCGGGCATATGAGGACCTCTACCAACGGTTAGGCACGAAGGAAGGTGAAAGGGACATCTATAAGATGGCCAAGATCCGAGAGAGGAAGACGAGGGATATTGGCCAAGTCAAATGCATCAAGGACGGAGCAGGCCAACTCTTGGTGAAGGACGAGGAGATTAAGCATAGATGGCGGGAGTACTTCGACAAGCTGTTCAATGGGGAGAATGAGAGTTCTACCATTGAACTGGACGACTCCTTTGATGAGACCAGCATGCGTTTTGTGCGGCGAATCCAGGAGTCTGAGGTCAAGGAGGCTTTAAAAAGGATGAAAGGAGGCAAGGCGATGGGCCCTGATTGTATCCCCATTGAGGTGTGGAAAGGTCTTGGGGGCATAGCGATAGTATGGCTAACCAAGCTTTTCAACCTCATTTTTCGGGCAAACAAGATGCCAGAAGAATGGAGACGGAGTATATTAGTACCAATCTTCAAGAACAAGGGGGATGTTCAGAGTTGTACTAATTACCGTGGAATTAAGCTGATGAGCCATACAATGAAGCTATGGAAGAGAGTCATTGAGCACCGCTTAAGAAGAATGACAAGCGTGACCAAAAATCAGTTTGGTTTCATGCCTGGGAGGTCGACCATGGAAGCCATTTTCTTGGTACGACAACTTATGGAGAGATATAGGGAGCAAAAGAAGGACTTGCATATGGTGTTCATTGACTTGGAGAAGGCCTATGATAAGATACCGCGGAATGTCATGTGGTGGGTCTTGGAGAAACACAAAGTCCCAGCAAAGTACATTACCCTCATCAAGGACATGTACGATAATGTTGTGACAAGTGTTCAAACAAGTGATGTCGACACTGATGACTTCCCGATTAAGATAGGACTGCATCAGGGGTCAGCTTTGAGCCCTTATCTTTTTGCTTTGGTGATGGATGAGGTCACAAGGGATATACAAGGAGATATCCCATGGTGTATGCTCTTTGTGGATGATGTGGTGCTAGTTGACGATAGTCGGACGGGGGTAATTAGGAAGTTAGAGTTATGGAGACAAACCTTGGAATCGAAAGGGTTTAGGCTTAGTAGAACTAAAACCGAGTCATGATGTGCGGTTTCAGTACTACTAGGTGTGAGGAGGAGGTTAGCCTTGATGGCCAGGTGGTACCTCAGAAGGACACCTTTCGGTATTTGGGGTCAATGTTGCAGGAGGATGGGGGTATTGATGAAGATGTGAACCATCGAATCAAAGCCGGATGGATGAAGTGGCGCCAAGCTTCTGGCATTCTCTGTGACAAGAGAGTGCCACAAAAGCTAAAAGGCAAGTTCTACAGGACGGCGGTTCGACCCGCAATGTTGTATGGCGCTGAGTGTTGGCCGACTAAAAGGCGACATGTTCAACAGTTAGGTGTGGCGGAGATGCGTATGTTGAGATGGATGTGTGGCCACACGAGGAAGGATCGAGTCCGGAATGATGATATACGAGATAGAGTTGGGGTAGCACCAATTGAAGAGAAGCTTGTCCAACATCGTCTGAGATGGTTTGGGCATATTCAGCGCAGGCCTCCAGAAGCTCCGGTGCATAGTGGACGGCTAAAGCGTGCGGAGAATGTCAAGAGAGGGCGGGGTAGACCGAATTTGACATGGGAGGAGTCCGTTAAGAGAGACCTGAAGGATTGGAGTATCACCAAAGAGCTAGCTATGGACAGGGGTGCGTGGAAGCTTGCTATCCATGTGCCAGAGCCATGAGTTGGTTGCGAGATCTTATGGGTTTCACCTCTAGCCTACCCCAACTTGTTTGGGACTAAAGGCTTTGTTGTTGTTGTTGTTGTTGTTGTTGTAGATTTGCCTTGTAGACAAAAACTTGCTCTGCTTGTTCGCCCATTTGGTTGTGATTGATGGGTCCATGATTGTTAGAGCTGGCTAATCTAGCATAAGGAAAACTATATAGACAACCAAAATAACAACGCTTTGATGTCCTAAATTGCTGTTTATTTACCGTAGTCATTCATCCGGGGTTTTAACTTCTAACGCACCATCTCTACAAATGCTTGTTGTAATACACCACCTTCAAAGATAATATCACTTAAAAGTGATAACTTATAACTGTTGTTTTAACTTGAATGACTCTCCTCATTGTGACATAAGATCTGCATTATGGATTGAGATTTTGAAATCTGCTGTGAAGGTTATTATGCCTGTATACTCTTGCTTATGTGGGTGATTACCCAAATATGAAGCACATTCATCTACCCTTCATGAAATATTTGGTTGTAATGTGTTTAATGGTTATGCATTTTAAGTGAATTTTTTAAGCTGTGGTGAGATTTTCTTTTGATTGCCAAGTTTTGCATTAATATTATTCTTTCTGGAGGAAAGCTTGTGTCCTTCATTTTTTATTAGCGCTATGCTAGTATGTTATGTTATGCCTGCTCTTTCAGAATATCCACCTTGAGATTTTAACATGAATTTTGTTCTCAACAGGTGGTCAAACAAGCATCAGGTACATTCTTTACAGCGAGTATCCATATCCAAAATCGGTCATTATGATGTAACTATTTTATTCAACTTATAGCCATTTTGGAGTAATGCCTTCCCACAGTAATTTGTTGGAGTTGCCCAGGAGATACACACACTAGCTCAAGTTAGAAGAAGAGCCTCACGCAAGAACACAGAGAGGCTTTGGCGCTGCACAACTTGTGCCTTTTCTCTTGTTCACTCTTTCACACAACTGAACTTGGTTACAAACTTACAATGCCTTTTAGCTAGTGTGCCTTTTCTCTTGTTCACTCTTTCACACAACTGAATTTGGTTACAATGCCTTTTAGCTAGTGTGCCTTTTCTCTTGTTCACTCTTTCACACAACTGAACTTCGTTACAATGCATTTTAGATGTACACACACTAGCCGGTAGAAACAACAACTAATAACCACCTCTCCGATCACTCTTAGTTTCGGCCTTTCTCCTTGCACCTGGAGATGTGCTCTCTGCACAACGTTGGTGATTACCAGGTCTACAACTAAGCCTTTCTAACAAACTCTATCCATGCATGCATGTGAATCACTCCTACTACTAACTAGGCATGCACCTAACTGACACTACTAATTAAACAAATTTAGCTTTGCACTGTGTGCACACGTGAAACACACCTCTGACGTGCACACACTACCGCAGCTTCAATACATGCCTAAGTCAGAAATAAACATGATCTAATTACCTATACAGCAAGGTTAATTAACTCCAACATAATTGATCTTTTTGCCAGTCATTTAAGTATTGGTGTCTATGATGTCCTTTTTTTTGAGAGAAGATGAACTTATCACAATTTGCTGTCTCTGGAAGGCATATCATCATGTTGCAACGGTAGTTACTATTTCAAGGCCTGAATCTTAGAAGACCTTATAGACCTTATAGTTTTTGACATCTGAAGCTTATAACTCTAGTTACTCTACTGTAGTTTATCTGATCAACCTTTGTTGACCTGTTGAGAAATTTGGTTGTTTTACCTCATTTGCTGCTGGAATCTCAAGAAGATCTGTATTTGTATTTGTTGAAACTATTTCAGTATGCATATCTTGATTGTTGCAGTCATTGTTAGTTTATTGTGTACTAGCAGCGCCACTCAGTCTGTTCAAGGAGCATTAGTCTTGTAATGGCTTCATTTTCTTGTTTTCATTCCTCGATTTGGGAGATTGTTCAATAAAGACCTGGCATGTAATCTCTTAAAGCTTAATTCAGGCCACTTTCATTATATAAAACTGTAGATCTAAGATGTACTGTACTAGTGAGTATGCTGTTCAGCTTGAGTTAATAATTCTGGTATCTGCCCTGCATCCCTTTACTAGCAGAATGTGAAATGCCTGTCATGAGCCACTTGCAAATTCTACCATTATATAGACTGTAAATCTGAGATGTACTACTGAGTATGCTCTTTCTTGTGTGTGTTCCTAGGCCATACTGGAGATGCTACTTTCCAAACACTCAGGCTATCATATATGTTGTTGATTCAAGTGATACTGATAGGCTGGTAACTGCAAAAGAAGAATTTCATTCCATCCTTGAGGTATGCATCACAATGAAAGAAGCCTCTGATTTATATCACAATTGGATGTGCTTCTCCTACAATGCACATTGGTAATACAAGGGTTCAGATATTTCTCACAAAATAATGTTGATTGTCAATGCTAATTGCACTACGGGAGCATGGGAATGCTACTTTGAAGTGATCAACTAGATATGTGATCGATTTTAGTGGTTTACACAAAATTGATGTGGTTAAAAGACTATTTGCTAGTTATCTGTTTGGGTTCCTGTTCTGCTTTTGATCTACTGGATGATTTTGGCATCAAGTACACTGTAAATAGCAACTACCATTGCGTGATTTTCTTTTGAAAGGAATAACTTGTATTCCACTTAAACTTGGTGCACAGCCGACTTGCTCGCCACAATACCCGGAAAAAAAATCAGGGGCATCAAAAGTCCACGCGGTGAGAGGCACATCCTCCTCTAAACTGAACTGCACCAACGTGTGTGCGACCTTATTACATTCTCTACGGCAGAACATCAAATCATAGAACACAAAGGAGGCATGGCATAACCTTCTAGCTTCACGGTATAGAACTCCCAGGTCCGCAGCATCGTAGTTGCGCCCTTTCAGTGCACCAATCATCGTTTGGCAATCTGACTCGAAGATGGCTCTTTGTGCTCCCAGATCATCTGCACCTTCAATCGCCCTAAGACATGTAGTCGTCTCAGTTTGCAGTGAGCTCCGTACATGTTCCATTTTCCCGGCAGCCGCCTCTAGGAACGACCCTGTTTCATCACACGCCACATCCCCAAGCTCCGGCCTCGGACATTTCTCTGAATGCTGCGTCAATGTTTATCTTTACGATCCCCGCCTCGGGAGGTTTCCGGGATTCCTGACAAGCAGGCTGTGGAGATGGTGATTGTTTCATGCTTGAGAATTCCAGCAGATGTTTATTTATAAGCATACTCACTTCCTCAACCGTCTTTTGCTTCTTACCCGCATTGGTTTTATTCCGTGTTGCCCACTAATCCCATAGAAGAACCGCCACTCTCATTTTCTTCTCTACAGGCAGCAAGCAGACCTGATGCATCAGATTTTGGAAGTCCGCTCATTCAGAGTTGCAAGCACACATCCTCAAAGTCCTTGCTCCCTCCAGACAGCTTTTACTTTTTTGGTCTTCAAAGACAAATGACCACTATGCTCATCAAGCCTAGAACACATAGGGCATCTAGTGTCCAATTCAATCATTTTCCTCTTTATATTCATTCTTGTGGGTAAGGTGTTATGCACCAATCTCCAAAGGAACATGCTTAACTTACCAGGCACCTGCAGCTGCCAAATATGCTTCCATTTCTCCACAACTTGGCTTCGGCCACTGGAAGACTCAGCATTTTGTCTCCTCTCCGCTTCCTTTACACTGACCCCTAGATGATAGGCCGATTTTACCGAGAACACACTCTTTCTATGTGATGCCATGCCAAGAAATCTTCCATACCTGATCTGAGTGGGATCCCAAGGATGACCTTTGAGTCCTCCGGAGAGAACAGCTCTTGTACTAATTCCGTATCCCATGATTCCGTAATCGCGTTGATCAATTCATTTACTTTTGTAATTATCGTCTGCCCTTGGTGCGAATAAGGCCTTCTTGTTGTCCCTCTTGGCAGCCACGGATCAGACCACACATTCACTTGTGAACCATCTCCTATGCGCCAAATCACTCCCTCCCCCGGCCCCTGTGGATGCTACACCAGGTATAAGACATGCCTGGCTATTCTGTTGCTTCCATAATCGTACAATTCGGATGGTATTTCGCCTTCAGCACCACCGCACAGAGGGACTCCGGGTTCTGCAAAAAATGCCAGCTCTGACGAGTTAACATGGCCATATTAAATATGCGTAAGTCTCTAAACCCTAGGCCTCCAGTTCTCTTCGACTTCATCAACATTTTACCTTTCCCAGCCTATCCAGTGACATTTTTTCATTGCCGTCCTGCTGACTCCACCAATACCTTTGCAATCATGCCACTGAACGTCGGTATGGCCTGGGCGACGGCCTTAACCAACATTTCCTTTCCTACTTTAGATAGGAGCTTTTCTAGCTACCCTTGCATCCTCTTCCAAATGTTTTCTTTGATGTACTCGAACTCTTTACTCTTCGCTGCTCTGATATTTACAGGCAAACCCAAGTATCGCTTGTTCTTGGATTCTCGGGGTATACAGAGAGCCTGAAGAACTTGATGTTTCTTCGCCATACTTGTTCCTTTAATGAAGAACGCTGAGGATTTGTCTCTGTTGATCTTTTGCCCTGACCGGGCCTCGTACAGGGCCGGTATCTCCTGCAGCTGATTTGCACTAGCAGCTGTAGCCCTTCAATGGATTGGTCCAATTCAGCACGCTGCTGCAAGACTGAGAAACCCTCCGCGCACAAAATGAACAAGTACGGTGATGGTGGATCTCCTTGGCACAAGCCTCGCTGTGGGCGGAAAGCGTGTTAACTTCCGATTGAACTTGACGTGATAGGAAACCAATCGAACAGAAGTCATGATCACATTCAACCGTGCAGCCGAAAAACCCAAAGCATTCATCATACCCTCCAGAAAACTCCACTCCACCTGGCGATATGCTTTGCTCATGTTAAGCTTTACTGCCACTAGCCCTTGTCTACCCCCTTTCTTCTTGTGCATCAGGTGGGTTAAGCTAAAACAACATTATCTGTAATCACCTGTCCGGGAACAAAAGCTGATTGGGTTGGGGATATTAACTCCGGAAGAATCACCTTCAAGCGGTTTGCTAAAACATTGGCGATCAGCTTAAAAAGCATGCATAAGAGACTCCAGGTTCTTTACCTTTGGAATCAACACAATCGTTGTCTCATTCCATCCCTCCGGCATTACTGCACCATTTAGAACTCTTAGGACCTCCTCTTGAATCTTGGGTCTGACCAAATGCCAAAACTTATAAAAAACTGCCAGCATGCCATCCGGACCTGGAGCCTTTAGATCACAAAAAATTGCATGTTGAAAGGTGATGTGTGATTTGGCAATGCATGTTGACCACATAAACAACTTACCTAGTGCAATTTCTTCCATTTGACGGTAGGGTCTTTTGAGCCAGATGTATTCAGTGGCCAGGATGTATTTTTTTCAAGATAATTATCTGATTGCATATGTTACCTCATTGTGTGCATTGTACTGGCAGGAGGATGAGCTGAAAGGTGCGGTTGTCCTTGTATATGCAAATAAACAGGTGAAGAAACAAACATATTTGATTTCTTATATACGGTTTTGAAATTTGTATAGTTACTTGGACATTGCAACTGTTCTCAGAACTAACAACAAAGTTCTTGTAATAATTCATGATTTCCACTATACCTGCAGTCTTTTCTTATTTCTGCAGTACATTTTTGGATCTATTGTCTACTAACAAGGCACCTGCCTTTACGAGTTTCCATGAAATTACTTTAACTATCATCATTCATTGACTGCTCTTTTTTTATTAGAAGGAAATAAATGCTTCTAGGTGAATTTACTTGTCTGAATATCTTTTGGATGCAGGTTGTTGCGCATCCTGTTTGATATGCTATCTTACCTAATTCATTATTGTGATGTCTTTTCTTATCCAGGACCTTCCAGGTGCACTTAATGATGCTGCCATAACTGAATCATTAGAACTTCACAAGATTAAGAGCCGCCAATGGGCAATTTTCAAAACATCTGCTATAAAAGGGGAGGGGCTTTTTGAAGGCTTGAACTGGTAAGTTGAATGAAACATTCCTTTCTAAAGTGACTAGATGAATACTTGCTCTTTTCTATATTTTCAATCTATTTTTTTGTTTGTGGTGGTATGGCAGGGGGCTGCAAATCCTGTATCCCCTCTTCAAATCGTTAGAAAATGCCCATGCCCAGTATTCTGGTTAGACATGGATAATGACTAGATGATTTCATTTCACATAAGAAAGGACTGTTTTCCCTTGTTAGTTGTTACTTGTTACTGTCTATAAGTTTTAGTGTCTTATCACCAGACGTCTAATAAGATAGCGACATGCTTATGCATTCCCTAAAGAATTACTTACACCCAGAGTACACCAACTTGCAGCAAAATAACAAAACCACGCATAATCTCAAAAACCCCATAAAAATGGTACAACTTACATAACAGCACATTTTAATCAAATTTGACGGAGGCCATTTGTTTCCCTGTGGCGTACGATTATATCTGGCGTGGCAGCTGCCCAATGCTATCTCTGTCCATCGTTGTGGCCCATCTGTCGGTGGGACAGAGAAACAAATAGTATAGTAGGAATTATAATGGGAGAAGAGGATCGAACCCAGTACATGGAACTTGTTGGCGCATCCTCGCTCGTCATGACCAACCCATCCAAAATGTGCTGTTACGTAAGTTATTGTACTACCATTTTTGTGGTTTTTTTAGATTATGGATGATTTGGTTATTACGCTTTCGGTACGCAATATATGGGCAACAAACGGTCTTGGTTAGATTCGATGGAAGTCATTGCTGATACCGGCCGATTATTGTTTGCTGCAGGCTCAGTAATGCACTCAAGTCCGGAGGCAGCTAATGTAGGAGGCCCAGCCTCCATTCCGTGAATCATTGCTTGATGGTAAGGAACAGGGACGATGACAGCCTTCTCGCTAGTCTGCGTGAAAATGAGAATCTCTTTATTTTTACTCCGGAAGTTATACACAATCAGTTTTCTGTAGAGTGCTTGTTGAAGTTTCCAGATACAACACTAGCTGTACCATGTCGAGAGCAAGAATATATTTGTAGAAAATACCGAGCAAATGATTACGGTTTGAAATATGTGGCTTCACCGCGTAAAATTTCACCCCATTTTCTTTTCCAATGATTGAACTCGCAATTTTTTTTCCGCGTCTCTTTGGCTGGGACCAGATCAGATGCCTGAAGTTACTCAATCCCTGAAATCCAATCATGTCATTTACAAAGTTATATGCTTACCGTAATCATCAAAAATAACATAGGACTACTGCTTTACATCTACTAGTTTGTTACTGTGTGTTGGAGCCATAGTTTTAAGGGTTTTTACCAGTTTTGCTATCGGCTGTATAACGCTACTCAGTTTTGCCACTAAATGTTTTCACTACTCTAAAATGCCACTGTTTTGTTAGACACAAACTCAGAAATACCATTTTCCGCCGTTACCGTCTGGAAGGTGCGAGCTAACCAACTAAGCTAACCAGATGTTGTGACTTATATATCCCTTATATCTTTACATGGAATAATAGTCCAACACGGCAACGTCTCGTATCTTTTCTGGTTGCTAGCTAGTTGAGCTTGGGTTTGAAAGTACCAAATTGCATGCAACTATCAGTAAGGGTAATTATCAGTAAGGCAAAGTCAGCTACTACAAATTATGCATACAAATTTTGAAGTCTACAAGCTATACTGAATCACACACGCACACCGAGAATTAGTATACTCACAATGCAGGAATTTCAGAGCCTATGTCATATTGGGGCGTCCTGTGGCCGATGCAACACTCCGATTCGGTCCTGCTGTCCACCATTGCCGTGGAACAACTGCACTTCAAGACTGGGGAGGAGCTGCGGAGTCAGCCAGGAGAAGCGCCGGAGCTGCCTGCCTGTGGTGGCGGTGCGGGCGGGAGGAAGGGCCAAAGCTGCGATGGGTGGCTGCACTCGGCGGTCCCCAGGAGCTGCGGAGTCAGCCAGGAGAAGCGCTGGAGCTGCCTGCCTGTGGTGGCGGTGCGGGCGGGAGGAAGGGCCAAAGCTGCGATGGGTGGCTGCACTCGGCGGGAGGTGCCGCAGCTACAGTGAGTGGGGGCGCGCCGGAGCTGGGCGGGGTTTTGTTTAGTTAGGTTCAGACATCAGTATATAAGGCTTGTATCTCCTAACACAACAAATTGTTTCTGTGGCTCAGTTGGTTAGCTCGCGTGCTTGTGTACCCCATGGCCCTCCCTCCCAAATTTTATTCTCTTTTTCTCTTGCTCCCCTTATAAATGGGATAGGGGTAGTTTCGTCATCTAACTTCAGTCAACGTGTATTGACCAAACGATGATGCGACCCCGTCTTCGGAGAAGAGGGAGTACAAGGGGAGGTCCGATCTTCATGGCGTAGGATCGATAAATGGATGGGGATAACTAGCTGCAAGCAGCCGAAAAATGGAAAATAAGAGATTATGACCCGACGAGGAGGAGGCTCACCGAAGCTTGCAATCCAAACATTCACCGTTCCACAACCCGCAATACTACCCCACACAACCACACTCAAGTCGTGGACCATGAGATAGGTGCAATCCGCAAGGGAAACCACGAACTCTAATCCACACAACACGATCTAATCGTGGAGCACGAATTAGGAGCAATTTCTCAAGGAATCATGAGAATAAGGGTAACAAGAGCTCTCCAATCTCAAGAGGAGTCTATGTCTTTGGTCTTTGATAGAAATGGCAAAAGTCCCCAACGAAGGGAAGAGCTAGCCTATTTATAATCGGGACAACCCCCTGATAGGTGTGAAAGAGAACTAGCTTCTGAACCAGCTTAGGTGTGAAAGGGAACCGGCTTTGTTTGACTAAATGGCTTCAAGACTTAATGAGGTAGCTTCTGGAATTCTCTCGTTGGAGGTGGTTGGCAGTTCCCGACCAAACATTGTTCACTGGAGTCGAACAATGTTTCCTTCAGCAGCAAACTCGAGTTCTGGGAACCTTTTGCAAGTTGGAATATGCAAACTTGTACAAAACATTGTTTCGTCAGAATCGAAACAATGTTTCTTCAGCAGATAACTCATTCTTCATAAATTCCTAACTTTGTTCCTTCGCCATAAAACATTGATTTGCCCGGACTGAAATGTGTTTGGCCTTCTTCGATATCGCACCTGAGTTCGACCAACAATAAAGGAGGTGAAGGAACAACCATGTTTTCAAGGTCAAATGATATACTTAAGTTAGCATTCACCTGATCATGTATTTGCATTGCGCGGCTTCTTGTGATTGGATCGTTGATGATTGGTGGTGTGTTGCCCATGGTTTGGATGTCCTCATCAAACGGTAACGGTGAAAAAATGGTCTTTTTGAGCTTGATCTAACAAAACAGTGGCATTTTGAGTAGTGAAAATGTTTAGTGGCAAAACTGAATAGTGCTATACAGCCGATGGCAAAATTGATAAAAACCCTAGTTTTAAAAACCGGACCAGACCTACAGCTGGTTGGATAAGAAAAGCTGGAGCTAGCAAAATGTGTGGTTTCTTAAGGTCTGATGAACCGATTGGAGGAAATTCAGTTTCTTACGGTCTGATGAACCGATCGGAGGAAATTCACACAAACTGGGAGAACTGGTGGGACTAGAATTTTCACAAACTGGGCAACAACCAAAGACGTTTCTTAAGGGTGGGCATGTCTACAAACCTTTACTCCAAAAATATTTTCATTCTCTTCGCACGCATTAAGAGAGCCCTTCGTACATAAAAGAAAAATATAAGGAGATAGTGGGTCTCTCAGTCTTAACCCTCTTGTAGGCTTGAAGCTTTCACTATCTTCTGCATTAAACTTAACAGCAATGGAAACACATTACATAATAAAGTTTACCCAATTCTCTCTGGAGCCTTGTTTTAGTATAATCTCTAATCTCCTTGAGGAAAGGCCACTCAGTCTGACCATAAGCTAAGCACGGGCCCTATCACCAATCTTCCCTTTGTTGATTTGACCTGACTCTCATGAAAGCTAAGCACATTGTTGAGGCTTTGAAGTTAGTTCTGGATTCGTATTGTGCTGCCTCAAGGTAGATGGTGAGTATTGATAAGTGTAGCATCTTCTTTAGTCCTAAACTCCTAATACGAGGGTCGAGATTGTAAAACATATGTGTTCCGCTTTGAATATCATGACCGAGGCCAATGGTAAATATTTAGGATTGCCAGCTAATGTGGGGTTGGATAAAATTGCTAGTTTTTAGCATTTGATTGATAGTATTATCATGAAAACAAAATGGTTGGAAAGAAAAATTATTATTCGTTGGAGGGAGAAAATTCTCCTCAAGTCTGGTGTTCAAGCTATTCCTACGTATGTAGTGTTAGTCTTTAAAATTCCTAAAAAGATTTGGAAAGAAATTATCGGTCTTTAAAATTCTTAAAAAGATTCATAAAGAAATTATTGATGTGATGTTGCATTTTTTGTGGGGAGATGAGGACAACCGAAGGAGGATTCATTGGATGGCTTGGTGAAAATATGTGTCCCAACGAATCAAGGAGGCATGGCTTTTTATGATATTCATTGTTTCAACCCGGCTATGCTGGCAAACAGGCTTTATGCCTTCTTGAGAACCCCGACTCTTTATGTGCTACTGTTTTGAGAGTTAAGTACTTTCCTAATGTCGATTTACTGAATACAAAGTTAAAAAAGCTCCTTTCTTAGTTGGCAAAGTATTATGGCAGCGAGAATTATTTGAAACATGGTCATATATGATGAGTTGAAAATGGTCGGAATATTAATATTTTGGATGATGCTTGGATTCCAAATTGTGATAATAGGAAAGTTATCAGTGCGAAAGAGGGTCATCTGCTATTGGGAGTGGAGGATTCTATTGATCAGGTTTCTAATAACTGGGATGATCATTTAGTTAGACAAACTGGGACCCCGTTGTAGTAGGCGGTTACTGCTAAACAGGACCTCCAGGAGGCCGCCGCACCCCAGCCGGTTGGGGGTGGATGAACAGGACCTCGTGGAGGCTGGATGAACAATAGTCGGTGGAGGCTGGATGAACAGTGGCCCGTGGATGAACAATAGCTGGTGGAGGCTGGAGGAAGTCGCAGTGGATGAACAATAGCAGGTGGAGGCTGGAGGAAGTCGATGGTGGATGAACAGTAGCAGGTGGAGGCTGGAGGAAGTTGACGGTGGATGAACAATAGCTTGTGGAGGCTGGAGCAAGGCAGTAGACGGTGGATGAACAGAACCCCGTTTCGACCTTAGGTGCTCGAACAGAAGTCCGTTTCCTCCGTTTTGCGGTACGGCAGACCCCTCCCGATCAACTGGACCCCGTTTCAACCGCAGGAACTCGAACAGAAGTCCGTTTCCTACGTGTTGTGGTACACCAGACCCTTCCTGATGAACAGGACCCCGTTTCGACCGTACGCGGTCGAGCAGAAGGCCGTTTCCTCCGTTCCGTGGTACACCGGACCTTGTTTCGCCTGTTTCGTCTAAGCCGGCTGGCTCCCGATAAACATGACATATTTCAACCCAGTCGGTTGCCTCCCGATGAACGCGACGCTGTTTCCTCTGTTCCGACCCAGCCGGTTGGTTGCCGATGAACAGGACGCCGCCGCTCTATGTGTTCGAGACCCCGCCCGTATGTACGTATGTAGCCATATTTACTTTCTCGCAGCATGGTTGTACATACATGATATGTCTCCATCGTATCTACTTTTCCTAACGCTTTTCCTCTTGTTTTGGACTCTAATTTGCATGATTTGAATGAAAATAACCCGGACTGACGCTGTTTTCAGGAGAACTACCATGGTGTTGTTTTCGTGCAGAAATAAAAGTTCTCGGAATGAAACATAACTTTTTGGAGATTTATTTCAGAATAAAAGGAAA